TTTGGGGGGGGGGGGATTGTGAGCTGCACTCAGGTGTGTGCGTGCGTGTGTGTACTGCACTCATGTGCAGGTGTACTGCTCGTATGTGCAACTGCACTGCACTCTGGCGTGGTTATGTATAGGCCTAGAGCAATAGCACACATGTTGTACCTTCAAGTGTGCACGTTAGCCAGTCAACCCTAGCACACTTTGATGCACCGGCGTGTGTGTTTGAGTGTGTAGCACACTGTGTCGTGCGTGTAGTGTTACTGTCAAGTGACACAGTAATCCAACATCAGAGCGTGTAGTAGTGTGTAGCACACTGTGTCGTGCGTGTAGTGTTACTGTCAAGTGACACAGTGATCCAACATCAGAGCGTGTAGTAGTGTGTAGCACACTGTGTCGTGCGCGTAGTGTTACTGTCAAGTGACACATTGATCCAACATCAGAGCGTGTAGTAGTGTGAGCACATTAGAGCCACTCTCAACACACAAACCCAAAATAGGCGTAAATCAATTCTAGCAATATCATACCATGCTAGAATTTCACCATAACTAGAAAAAATAAACTTAAGTAACAGAACATTACGCTATAACATATCACACACATTCATCAATTCATGAAAATGGATAAATAGAGTGTCGAACTGACAAATCAGTAAGGAATGGTGAGACTGTCCAGGAATAATCAAAGAAGTTTAGATCAACGTACAGTTAAGTCCCTTCTTTCCAGTACCTTCTCAGGCTTGCTCATGTCTTCTTTGCACTTCCCAAGACACAAGTCAGAATCTCTTACTTTAAATGGTCACTTTTAAGCACAAGGAGGCTATCCCGAAAAATGCTGTTTTGAGAAAATCGAAGGTAAAGTTTTTGCCCCTTGTTCAGTTTCATTAAAAGACAAGGAGAGTTTTCTCTTTAACGCAACAAATATACACACCAATGAAACCAAACTTCTCTTCTAGGTAGGGCACTGCCCACTTTTGGGGTAGGTCAAGATTGAAGGAAATCCCTGAAACCTAGGTTAGCCCGAATGTCCTTATAAGCGACCAAACATAGTCATTATTCTTTATACCCAACTCCTCACCTCAATATTATAAGATTATCAACACCAAAGGCCACGAATATCGTTGATCTAAACTTCAGAAGAACTACATTGAGCTCAGGATTTCAAAATTTAGTGAAAGATTTAATAAAACTATACTTACTTCTACATAGAACATAATAATTTAATTATATACAATTTTTATTGTCGACAATAAAGTTTCACTTATTTCTTTACTACAAAAAGGATAACAGAATGTGTGGCTAGGAATGTAACGCACAATCGTAGAAAATTTTGTATGAATTTGTGATGGAGTATGTTTTGAGCTATGTGTGATGTGTGTGTGTGTGTTTGTGTTTGTGTGTGTGTGCATTTGTGATGGGGAGACGGACGGAGAGAGAGAGAGAGAGAGAGAGAGAGAGAGAGAGAGAGAGAGAGAGAGAGAGAGAGAAGGTGAGAGACAGAGAGATTTGAAAAGAAAGAATGAGAGCTGGAAAGTGATAAACAGGGGAGTGTAGAATCGGAAAGAACGAAAGAACAACAGGGATATCAAACGTATTATGTTTGTCTGTACGTCTGCTTGTGTGTACGTTTGTTTGTGTGTAAGTGTGTCAGGTGTGCAGGACTCCCCGAGAGGCAGCAAAGGGCGTTCCCTTACCTGGTCTTCTGTGAGCGTGACGGTCGTATCTACGGTGATCTCTGATGTCACACGCGATTCCTTGAGATTCTTCACCTCCTCGCGTGCCTGGGGGTGAGATGAGATGAGATGAGAGGAGAGGAAAGGAGAGGAGAGGAGGAGAGGTTATGACATGAGATGAGGTGAGATAAGGTGAGGTGTGGTGAGATGAGATGGGATGAGATATGATAAGATCTCTACAGACAGAAATGTATTGTAAATAAATACGCGCATTAGCAAATGTCTACATACACACATGCACTCACACAAACACACACCCACATACACGCACACACACACACATACACACACATACAGGGACAAACACACACACACACTGACACAA